CACACGTAGTTGAGCAGCTCACTGCAGCAACCACCACGCAGGTGGCCAGTCTGTGTACCATGCTCACTGCTTGCCGCTGCTTAGCCTACGGGTCGGGGACTACGGACCACTGCACAGCAAGTTCGCGGTAGCCCCTGGCCCGCTGATTCGCCCGGATCAGCTTCCCATTCAGTATGCTGCCACCTCACGCACATTGCCTAAAGGGTCGGGGACTAAGGACCACTGCGTAGCAAGTTCACAGTAGCCCCCGACCCGCTGATTCGACTGGATCAGCCTGCCAGCTGCCGCGCGCGCAGCCATCGTCATGCACATCGCTATATCCGCCTGCCGCTGTTGCAGCTCTCGAGTCAGTGCGCGAGTATGTGAAGCACGATCGGGCATAGCAGAGCCTAAAACCACGGATAGGCCGGTACACCGAACATGGGGATGTCAATCTTATGTTTCGCGCTTCCTAGTCGAGATTCAATAGCTCGACAATGCTTAATTCGGCTTGCTTTTGCACGAAACGCGTCATCACGCATGCAGTGGGGTCACTGTGTACCGTGTCCCCAATACCCTAGGCAGGTCAGCTTGCCAGAAGCAGGGCTGTTAGGGCCAGGGACTACGGACCACTGCGTAGCAAGTTCGCGGTGGCCCCTGGCCCGCTGATTCGACTGGATCAGCAAGCCAGCCATACAGAACAGGGTGGCCCTCCACCCGCGGGGCCTTGGCCTCTAACTCCATCCTCCGAAACCCCGCCGTAAGGAGGCTTATGGCGGGGTTTTATTTTGAACGCCCCCAGGTGCCCGATTCGAGCCAAAATCCCGGGTGCCCGATTGGAGCCTAAATCCCGGGTGCCCGATTTGAGCCAAAATCCAGGGCCCTCGTGAGCCAGAGATTGCTGCATGAGAGTCGCACGATCGTTTCGTACGGGATGTATCCATGATGGTACAGCCCCATAATGTCAAAGTAAATGTTTGCCCCTCTAGGGGTGAGAGGTGCATGAAGCGTCTGTTACGTTTCTCCCCTTCGGGCCGCTATGGAGGTAGGTTTCCGACGGTGTCGGAAACCTCCTCGGGGGCAGGTTTCCGACGGTGTCGGAAACTTATAGGACGCCTCACACTGGGGCTTTACCCCTCCGGCGTCGACCCCTAAAGCTGGGGCTTCGGCCCCACATGCGTTACCCGCGCAGCAAGGTTGTTAGGGCCAGGGACTACGGACCACTGCGTAGCAAGTTCGCGGTAGCCCCTGGCCCGCTGATTCGACCGGATCAGCTAGCCAACCATACAGGTAGTAACCAAACTAGTGGAACTACGATGTACAATTGGACGCTAACTCTACCACGCTTCTGCTGCCACTCGTCCTGCTGCCCTGACCAAGCAGAGGAAAATAACCACACTTTGTTGTGGCATCCTGGGGCCATCGCCAAGCGGGGATGGCAACCCAGAAAGCCGGTTTCATGTCGTTTTCGCGGTCTTGCTAAAAACTACGGCCGTCCAGACCGTTACGCGGGCCACTGGCATCAACATGCGACTGGAACGCTCACGGCATCCAACCTCGCAGGGGGAAGTCACCCCGATGGGGCGACGCCCCGTTTGTGCCGCTATCGCGCGGCACAGGTGCTAGTATGTGCATAGAGGCATCCATCTTCACAGGGGGGTCCCCCCCGAAGTGGCACTCAGCACGCAAGCATCGCAGGCTGCCTGCATGGGTTGGGGCCCCTGCCGCTTTGCCACACCTACGCTGGGGCTCAAGCTCCTGGCGTCTGCCCGACCTGCCAGGGTCCCTGCACTAAGTGCAAGAGCCCCTGAATTCAGCGGCGGGGAAGCAATCGGGCCCACCTTGGGATCCGCTTCCTCCCCGGAGGGGAACCGCTGGGCAGTGCACGCCAGGAGTCAAATTGCGGACCACTGCTGCGGCAAGTTCGCTCCCCCAATATGGGATGCCACCCCGTAGGAGCCCCGATTCGACAGGATCACTTTGGGGCATGGGGTGAGGAGGGGGTGTCGGCCAGCGAAATCGATAAAGAGGTGGAACATCGACGGGTGTTCCTCACTAAGCACCTCAGTATCGTTGCTATCCGTCATCCCCCAGCTTTAGTCTGCGCGGCGGACACCCGCATCGGCCAGACCCCGCCGCCCTACGGGCTGAGGTGCGAGTGCACGACCCGCTGACTAAGGATACATCCGAGACAATCCTCCTGATCATCCTCCCCCTCCTCCTCCTCTTCTTCCTCCTCCTCCTTCTCCTCCTTTTCCTTCTTTCCCTCCTCTTCCTCCTCCTCCTCCTCCTCCTCCTCCTCCCTCTCCCTCTCCCTCTCCTCTTCCTCCTCCTCCTTCTTCTCTTCTCTTCCTCTTCCTCCTGCTCCTCCTCCTCCTCCTCCTCCTGATCCTCCTCCTCCGGCTCCTCCGGCTCCACCTCCTCCTCCTCCTCCTCCTCCCCCTCATCCTGTTCCTCTTCTTATGTTTCGTCTTCTTCGTATTATTACAACTCTTCGTCTCCTCTCCTCCTCCTCCTCCTC